GGGATAATCTTGAGATTTGGTCATCGGATAGAAAGAGTTGTAAAGAATGTGATAAAACAAATTGCATTTAAATCTTTCAGCAATTCATTATAACGATAGGCAGTAACTATTGTTACATCAATCGATTGCACATTTATTATAATACCAAATTTAGAATCAACTTAATTTGCTATTATATTTCGTATCAGCTTGGGTTACATTTAGAATTCCATCTCAACCTAAATAGATTTTAAAACTACAGTAATTCCATTCCGACGTATGACACATACACAAGAGACAGAAATTCATTCACTACAAAGTTACTATTGTATTTGTACTAAATAGTGCGACAAGGCATTATTCTAAGATACACAATTTCGAGAAGCTAATAATTAATTTAATGCTAATCGTAATTTTGATTTTCTAAAAGTCTTTGGTTAAATAATTATTAATTTCTTTGAATTGTATGTCTCGGAACAATGCACTTGGTCTTTAATTAATAATGAAATGTGTGAAATTATTAAATCAAGACTTTGAATATCACATAATATTCATTTACAATAATTTATTCATGTGCTAATGATGCATTCTTGACCATTACATATTAATTATGCGTAAGTGTAAGTTCTTTATCACTAGGGATTTTAAATTATGATAACGCTAATAATTTTTATGAACCTTTTAGAATAAAATTAACCACATATCCTCACATTAATTAGCGAGTAAGTATAAAATTTTACTTATTTAAATTTACGTTATCTTTTTTATTAAACTATAGATATGATTATAGTTTATTCTGAAATTCGTGTTAAGAGAATTTTTATGTATCATTGAATCATTCATTTATTATATCTGATTAGGAAACAATTGTTTCAATTTATTTTAAATCTAACGTTGCGTGTTACGAATATTTATACATTTTATAATGAATTAATGTACTTTTTTTTTGTTCACTTTAAAATCTATGCATATAATATTTGTGTTTGCCTTTATTAACTAGAACGTAAGTATAAAATTTATTCTAATCAATTATGTTGTCTAAAACATATTTACAAAAGTTAATAATTTATATATTAGAAAGAAAAATGAAAACGGAGATGGAAATCCGTCAGACTTAATTCCAAATAATTTTGGTGACGTAATGTCATTAAGAGAAACAAATATATTATTGCCAGCTGAATTTAGTGGTTTAGAGAGGATTTGTTTAACTGCCAACGGTAATTTGCAAAGGATTTTAAGGTACGTTTTTGATATAAAATTTTAGTTGTTTTAAAATTT